AGTAAAATCTGTCAATTTCATCAACCATCCCTCCGGAGTGGATAGTCTCAAATCTTTCCCATCTCTGGGCATACAGTAATCTCACTGCTGTGATCATATATTGAATTAATCTCCTGTTGCTTTTTCCCCTCTAACCGTTTATCCATTCATCCTAAAAGGAAAAGTTCGCTACATAATTTGTTGGACGAGTCCCGAATGCACACAGATGGTTCGACCCAGTTGGCAAAACAAAGGGGCTCCGTTTGTATACAGCACAGAGCCAAAACCAAACAAACCCCATAATAGTATATAGCATTAAAAAAAAAAAGGCTACATTGTTTATGGTTCAAAGCCATAATGCAGGCGGGATTTGTACAGTTCGCGAAACAAGCCATTGTATGGATTTGCAGAGCAAGGATTATTCTTAGCATATTGGGTGAACTTAATTGCAAGCTGTTTGCTGTTAAACCCAACAAAGAAGTATGCAAAATCAGTTGCAGTCAGAATGAGCAACTGAAGACTCAAGCAGAAAGAGCAAAATCCATACAACAAGAAGAAGAAATGCCAGGTTGGGGGGAAAAGGTGGGGGAGAGGCAGGGAGCAAGCGAGGATTTCATGAGCAACCTGAGTTGCTGAAACTGAAATCAGACTGCACTAGAAATAAACTTGGAATAGAGCTGGTACAGAGGGAAGGTGGGGGTTGAGCAACCTCAAAGGCAAGTTATTTTCTCTCTCTTGCAAACTGCCCCCAAGATCTGTTCGAGAGCTGCTGGTACACAGCCACCCATACGCCAGGCTGCTAAGTGAATTCTGCTTAGCTGCTGGGACTATATTTAGAGTCCTACGAAAGGGGTTAGTGAGTTGCCTGGAGCCAGCACAGTATCTAAAGAGGATGTCAATATAACAGCAGTCAGGGATGAAAAATAACCGAGAGCTTTAAATAAATCCTTCGGAATGAGCTGGGTTTGTGAAGGAGGACGTTGTGCCCGGCAAAACTGCAACCGGGATTAGAAGACTGGGCAGTGGGGTTGACGTCTCCGAAATGAGGGTGGATGGGTCATGGAGAAGATGAAGTAGTCCTCGATTTATGGTCATTCATTTAACAACCATTCAGAGCAGTGGTGAAATGTAAAATTTGTTACTACCGGTTCTGTGGGCGTGGCTTGTTGGGGGGGGTAGTATGACTGAGTGGGTGTGGCCAACTTTTTTTTTTTAACTTTTAAAAGCATTTTTTTCTACAACCTCTTCGGCTGAAGAGGTTGTAAAAAAAATGCTTTTAAAAGCCTCTGACGATCCCAGCTGATTTGCCTGATCGGCAGAGGCTTTGTTTTTATTTTTAAAAACATTTTTTCGGCCGAAGAGGTTGTAGAAAAAATGCTTTTAAAAATAAAATAAAAAGCCTCTGATGATTGCGCGGCTCAGCTGGGCGTGGAGGTGGGGAGGGATTTTTGCTACCGGTTCTCCGAACCACCTGCCGCCATTGCTACCGGATTGGGTGATCCGGTCCGAACCGGGAGCATTTCACCCCTGATTCAGAGTTATAACAGAGCTGAAAAAAGAACTTAAGTCTGGTCTTCACACTTACAACCATCAGTGTCCCCAAGGTCATAATTGTGATTCGGGTGCTTGGCCACTGGCATGTATTTATAATGGTTGCAGCTTCCCAGGGTCACCTGATTTCCATTTGTGACCTTCCCAAGGGACTTCCCACGAGCAAAGTCAATGGGGGAGACCAGATTTGCTTAATGATTCTGTGATTTGCTTAATAACCGTGGCCAAAAAAGTCATAAAATTGGTCACAACTCACTTAACTGCATTGCTTAGTGACAAAAGACGCATTCCTATCAGTGGTGGGTTTCAAAAATTTTTACTACCGGTTCTGTGGGCGTGGCTTGGTGGGTGTGGCTTGGTGGGCGTGGCAGAGGAAGGATAGTGTAAAATCGCCATTCCCACCCTACTCCAGGGGAAGGTTACTGCAAAATCCCCATTTCCTCCTGATCAGCTGGGACTCGGGAGGCAGAGAATAGATGGGGGCTGGGCCAGTCAGAATTTTTACTACCAGTTCTCCGAATTACTCAAAATTTCTGCTACCGGTTCTTTAGAACTGGTCAGAACCTGCTGAAACCCACCTCTGATTCCTATCCATGGTGATAAGTTGAAGACTACTTGCAGAATGCATGGCTAATGGGAAAAACAGATTTGGACCAATGTAGATTTGGTGAGGGGGGAAGAACTGCTGACTTTAAGAAAACCACTTTTTAAACTGTCACTTTTTCTTAAACCCTACAAGGAGTTTTTTAAAATATTGCTGGAGGACAGTTGTGTAAGACTATAATAGCCAAAAAAAATCATGAGTCTGGAAGCTTCTTTTCAGATTAACAAATTCCATTAAAAGTCACAGTCCCCAAAGCTTATCCCTCTTAATAAAATGTCTGGAAAGATGCTATCAGGCTCCTTTTGAAGTTAGGGTTTTAAAAAAGATTTTTAAACAGGTTTAAACATTTAATGCTCACATTTTTGGAAATAATAACAGGATAGCCTTTCTCACTGGGAGAACTATTTATAAATAGTGTGAATCCATGGGTAAAAATACCCAGAAAGGCCAAGAACAAAAAAGTAGCTTTTACATTTTACTAAAAACTACCAGGATTTTAAGAAGCCAATAGCTGAAAAGTGTGATAACCTTCAATATTACTCAATACTTGTGCACTGATACTTTTGTGTCTTGAATATGGTATACATCAGACTTCTTCAGCGGTATCTGGGTATCTTTGAGTAGTTCAGAAAACCAGTAGTAAAAATTCTGACTGACCCCACCCCCATCTATTCTCTGCCTCCCAAGTCCCAGCTGATCAGGAGGAAATGGGGATTTTGCAGTAACCTTCCCTTGGATTGGGGACGGAATGGAGATTTTACAGTATCCTTCCCCTGTCACGCCCACCATGCCACACCCACCATGCCATGCCACACCCACCAAGCCACACCCACCGAACCAGTAGTAAAAAAATTTGGAATCCAACACTGCTACAGACCCCTCACATCCTGGACATAAACTGTTTCAACTTCTTCCCTCAAGACAACACTATAGGGCACTGCACACTAAAAGAACTAGACACAAGGACATTTTTTCCACATGCCATCACTCTGCTGAACAACTAATTCCCACAACACTGTCAAACTACCTAGAACAGTTGTATTACTATTATTCTTCTCATCTTTCCTATTACCTATTTCCTTATCTTATGACTATAACTTTGTTGCTTGTATCTTACGATATATATTGTTTTATTTAATATCCTAGAATGATTTATGCTGATTGCTTATTTAGTATCCTATGACTACCACTAAGTGTTGTATCTTATGATTTATGACGAATGTATTTTTATGATTATGATTTATCACTTGTTCCTTGTATGTACACTGAGAGCTTAGGCACTGAAAACAAATTCCTTGTGTGTCCAATTACACTTGACCAATAATTCATTCTCTCTTTCCTCTTTCTCCCCTCTCTCCCCCTCCCTCTCTCTCCCTCTCTTCCTCTATCTATCTATCTATCTATCTATCTATCTATCTATCTATCTATCTAAACATTCATCCAGATGTTTCTGCTGGCTGCAAATTTTGCATATTACAGTCTCCCTTCCCCCCCAATATCAGGAAGAGACCACACCTGGGAAACTTTGTTAGATTTGCACATATTGCTTGGCTATAGCTGAGTTTAGTCTTCATTTGTTGAATAAACTATTGTGATCTATAAACCACACTTTACAAATCACAAAGCTGGATTCACACAAGTTGCTACGCCAAAACCAAGCAAACCATGTGACAACATAGCATCATGTGTGAACTGAGAAATGCAGATATTTCAGCTCTCATCAGCCACAGCTAGAAGGGCCAAAGGCAAAGAATTGTGGGAAGCTGTCGTCCAGAAAATTTTGAGACTGCCTGCCCTTCTTCTCAAGGTTAAAGTTTTCCTTCAGGACCTTGGACAGTCCCATCAAAGCAATAGCTAGCTTTACCAAATGGTCAGTGTGATTGTATCACCAGGGCCTTTTTCCTTTCATACAATGTAGATACCGTACTTTTTGGAGTATAAGACGCACTTTTTTGCCCCCTAAAAGAGGGTGGAAATGTTGGTGCGACTTATACACCGAATACAGCCATTTTTTGCCTCCTGAAACCCCGCCCCGCGCGCCCATTTTTTGCCAAAAACAGGCCCATTTTTTGCAAAAATGGGATGTGCAGAGGGCTTGGGAGGCCTGCAGAGTGCTCCTGGGGGCTGGGGAGGGCAAAAACGCAATGCGTGGGGGTTTTCGGAGGCCAAAAATGGGGCCATTTTTGCAGTAGATGTGAGCTTAAATGGTCTCCAGGGGATAGTAGAGGACAGGAAGGCCTGGAGGAACATTGTCCATGGGGTCGTGATGGGTCAGACATGACTTTGCAACCAACAACAACAACAACAACAAGTATGTTCTGTAAATCCATCTGTTGTGGATTAGGTCAGAAACCAGTGGTTTTTAAAAACTACATTTAATGCAATAAACAACCCAGCCTTAACATATTGTGCAAACCCAGGCATTCCATACAGTATCAAGAGCAGCTTTCCATTTCCTGTCTCTCTAAATGTACTTTCGCTTCACTCCTGAAGACCAGATTACCAAGAAGGTGTAAGAAGCAAATCCTTCCCTTAAAGAGAACTATCAGGAATGCCATTTTATTGAATATATACTGCTTGGGATTCCCTCACTTTACAGCCAAAACCTCCTTGTAAAAATAAATAAATAAATCCAGGTGGCTTTTTTCTTGGATTGGATTGTCACCCATTCCTCTAACTCTGAAGAATGAAGTTAGACTGGTAGCCAGCCTATCTGTCCTTTTGATTTAGCGTCTAATTTAAGAGCCGTCAGACTGCCTCTCTTAGAATCCATTCACTTCAAGGCCAATCCATGTTGCTTTTCATTCCCCACTTCTCATTATGTGTTTTCCTTTGTTTAAAGCTTAGCAAGGACAGTTCTCGAAACCGGAATGCAAAGATTAAACCTTGGAACCTGGAAAGCCCACTGGTATCCTTCCAGGAAATTGATTGCCTTTCTCCCTTAAGAAATATTTGTTTCTGCTCCACCCTAGAGCAATTCTGGAGAGGCCATGGGGCCATCCTACAGCTACGGTGGGGTGCCTGTGTAAAAAGAACAGGGATGTGCAAAAAAAAATTTTTTTAAATCAATAACCTGTTGCTCAGAAATGACAGTGGGGGGAAAGCAGGGCGTGGGAATGCTGGGGAGAGAAGTGAACTAAACACAGCCTTGCTCGGCAGGGAGGCGAATCTATCAAACCCCCTCCCCTCCCCAGCAGCTGAAAACAACCATGTGTAGCAGAGGCAGACTCCCAGAGTTGTGCCAACTGAGAGGCAGGGCAGGAGGAAGCCAAGAGAGGAGAAAAGAGGGGGGGAGATTTATGCAAGGCTGATGGGAAACAAGGAATTTAAGCTTTCTTCCTTTGAATTAGGAGAGACGGAAAAAGCAGAGGGGGCTACGCCAGTTTACCTGGCCAAGGAGAGCCACCCAATGCATGCGAGTCTACCTCCTGCACCCCCTTCGAAGCAATTGGTAGATCCGGCAGGCGTTCCAGGCAAGCGACTCACGGTCTGCTGATACCCAAAAGCATCTTGCAAATTGAGGAAGAGGGATGCTCCAGGAGACCATGGAGACGGATTAGGAACAGCGGGTGCAACATGCTTCGAGGCAGATTCCATGACTGAACGGTTTTGTTTCTTCTGCTCCCCGACCTTGCCTGACAGTCCTCCTTGGAGATCAGCCCTTCTATTTTTCCACAACTCCCTTGGTAAGTATGTCAGCTTGCTTGCGCCTTCCTTTCGTTGGAGTAAAAGGAGGAGGGGTTGCACTTTCCAGATAGAAAGGGAGGGAGGGAGGGAGGGAAGGTGGACTAGGGCAGCAGGGTAGGTTACAGGTAACCGGTCAACATGATTCCTCTGGTTGGCTGGATGCACAGAGGAACCAATCTGTTGATGAGCCCCTTGGTTAGGATGCTCGCTTCCTTAGGGTTTGAAGAACAAAAGGAGATGATGAGGCAAGGTGGGGAAGAATAGGGAAGGCTCCTCTGGAAGAGCATGGGTGTGTTGTAAGCACAAGGTGATGAAACTTTCCACAACGCAGCATTTGACTCTCCAGCTGTTCCCATTCTCTGGGTGCATTAGGAGGTTTAATGAGCATTCTGCAAAGATTCCAAGCAAGCATGTTGCAATTCCCAACGGGAAGCAGGGAAAGCCTTGAAACCTCTTCTCAAGGATGAGAAGGTGGGGTTGGAGGGTTTGGGCGCGGTGGGGAGTTTGGATTAGCAATGCTCATCTGTTGCTGCTACAGAAGGGTTCTTGCGACACCCACCTCCCCTTTAAAGGCTAACCATTTCTAGCGCCATGAGGATGGATTAAGAGCATCAGCCTAAGCAAGGCTGAGATTTGCTTGGCTGACCATTGCAGGTACCTTGGATGGGTTGATGTGAAAAATGTGCCCCTGCCTGCAGATGCTTTGGTTTCACTTCAATGGGCTTTTATGCATTTGGGTGCTTGAAGTTAACCAGAGGTTGGGAAGTCAAAGCATATGGAGAAAGAGAAGACCATTGTGCAAGCACCAAAAATTAGTCAGGTAGCAGAATTTGACTATATTAAGTCCAGGATACTTTGTGACAATATGTAAAAAAGGTAATGCAGCCAACCCACAATAAACTTCTCCTTTAAATCCCAATTGTTTCACATGCATACACCATGCAGGGTGGATTTACACATTGGAGTAAGCTCATTAATTCTTGGCTAAGGGTGTTGTGTGATCTCAACCATAGTCTCTTGTTCTTTTACCAACAACCAGCCTCTTAGAGGGCTCAAATGATCCGACAGCCAGCTCCTTTCTTACTATAAATGTGGATGTCAGAAATCCACCTTCCACCCACTCGTGCCCTATTTAAGCACTTCCAATTTCTTCCTCTCATTTTTCCAGCTTTTCTGCTCTGGATCTGGAGGGAAGCTTCAATTGCAATCCTTAGAATGGTGCTGACATATCCAAGTCTCACCTTCTGCAAAGGAATTTGCTCGTTCTCCTGCTCCTAAGCTTCCTGGTATTAAAGCCCGCCAACTGAATTGCATAATCCCAAAATATGAAGGTGCCGCCCGGGTCATAGGTAATAGGTTTCATCTCTGGCAGATTAGTTTTTAATATGCAGGCGAGGTATGATTTTTTTTTAAAGTCTGTTCGCATGAACTGTAAGCATTTTGCTGCCCCCCACTCCCACCCCAAGGACCTTATATCAATATACAACTTTAAAATCAATCAGTTGAGGGCTGGTTCAGACAGCAGACTCAAACAATAGCTAATAAAAATGAAATATCCTGCTTTGTTCACAGAAGTTTACAAGCGTGCCAGATGATGTCGCCTTTCCCTTTGTGCCCTTTTGCATTTCCCATCACTTCTCCTCCCTTTTTTTTTATTTTGTTGTCCTTGTCAGAAAAGTCAAATTAAAAAGAGAAAGATGGAAACAGCATCCCAACCCAATTTTGATTGCTGGCACTAAAGTAGGAAAACGCCAGCAATTTTTGCAGCCCTCTTAAACCTTAAACCAAAAAGGAACTAAAATGACATCTTCCAAGGTAATTTTCTTCCAGGACTGAGGTCCATAACCAGGGTGCTGACTGACATAGAAAGGGGTGTGATCTGTCTGTTCCTCTACCAGCTTTGGCTAAAAGAGCCTATACAGCATAGGAAGGTAGCAGTATCTAATTGTTTTTGGCTTTTTTAGAAAACAAAATGGATTGGACCTGGTTAATATTTGTCTGGGGAAATATTTGAAGAAGAGACCACTAGGAAATCCCTCAATTGTAGATTAGATTGGATAGTTGGGGGCGGGGGAAGAATATTTATTTATTTATTTATTTATTGGTTTGATTTATATGCCGCCCTTCTCCGGAGACTCAGGGCGGCTTACAATGCGTTAAGCAATAGCCTTCATACTTTTGTATATACCTGTTTAGTAGGGCTTTCGGAGGCCCCTAAGCAGTGTTCTTTTTTATACAAAATCAGCTTATTGTCCCCACAATCTGGGTCCTCATTTTACCTACCTCGAAAGGATGGAAGGCTGAGTCAACCTTGAGCCTGGTGAGATTTGAACTTGCAGTAATTGCAGGCAGCTGGTGCTAGTTAACAGCACTTTAGTCTGCTGTGCCACCAAGGCTCTTCATATCCTGAAATATATCCTGAAAGAAAAGACTGACAAGCCACTTTTGTAACGTTGCTAAGAAAGCTGCACAATGTACCCAAGTAAATCAACAAGGTAAGGTAAAGATAAAGGTTCCCCTCGCACATATGTGCTAGTTGTTCCAGACTCTAGGGGGCAGTGCTCATCTCCATTTCAAAGCCGAAGAGCCAGCGCTGTCTGAAGACGTCTCCGTGGTCATGTGGCTGGCATGACTAAACACCAAAGGCGCACGGAACACTACTACTTTCCCACCAAAGGTGGTCCCTATTTTTCTACTTGCATTTTTTACGTGCTTTCGAACTGCTAGGTTGGTAGAAGCTGGGACAAGTAACGGGAGCTCACTCCGTTACGCGGCACTAGGGATTCGAACCTCTGAACTGCTGACCTTTTGATCGACAAGCTCAGCATCTTAACCACTGAGTCACCGTGTCCCTGTTAAAAATCAACAAGAGTCAAGCTCAATTTGAAGACACTTTTTCCTGTATGGAAAGAAGTGATTTCTCACTCCTCTTGCTGACAAAGGATGTACAGTTTCATAAAGAAGAATTGGCACGTTGAATAGGGCTCTGAAAGAACTTGTAAATGCAAAAGCTACTTGGCTCAGCTCCTTGCTGATATAAGAAATTGAGTGGCTACAGCATCTGGGATAACAAGGGATCACCTGGCCTTTAAGCTTTCAAGAAGGAAAACACACAAAACAGTGACTGAGTTGACAGATTGCATGTAGCCTTATGTGACTCTGGGTTTTCTTTTATCTTTGGCTTAGCTTGTTGGGTTAAGCCAGCTATAGTGGCTTGGGACCATAGATTATATTTTAGGGCAGGGGTGTCAAACTCAGGGCCCAGAAGCTGGATTTGGCTTACAGGTTGCTTAAATCTGGCCTGCAGGGCCACCCTGGAAACAGCAAAGGATTGGTCCATGATACCTTTGCCAATGAAAACAGACTTTGGCAACCCGTTTTTACTGGCAGAGCGCTAGGGGTACAACAGGGGCGCCTGACACGAGTGACATGGAGCTGGCCACGCCCACCTTGGCCACACCTACCCTCCCCCCCCATTGATGTGGCCCTCAAAGAAATTGAGTTTGATACCCTTGTTTTAGGAGTTTGAGGGAGGGGGTAGGGAGGGGGTGGAGGTTGTGCCTTCAAGTCAGTTTTTAATTCCCGGTGACTGTCTGGACTAGTCCATGCAGTTTTCTTGGCAAGATTTTTCAGAAATAATTTGCCGCTGCTTCCTTCTTAGGGCTGAGAGAAAGTGACTGGCTCAGGGTCATCCAGCTGGCTTTCATATCTAAGGTGGAACTAGAACTCATGGTCTCCTAATCTGGTGTCTCAACCGCTACTCCAAACAGGCTTTCATGCTTTAGTATTACATGCCAATCAAGTTCCTTTTTCAGCAAAACAAGGTTAAAAGCAAACATTATTGCTTAGTATAAAATGTGATGCCAGCCATTTATTCTCCTACTTATGTCCTGGGAGTCCCTTCCCTTATGTTTGGTCTATATATCATGTTTCTTCCTGTTTGACTCTTCTGAAGTGAAGAAGACCTATAGGGCTTGTGATTAGTCAACATTTCACAACATTTCACCAAAAGTGTGAGTTCTTTCCATTGACACCATGTCATGTGAAAGGTCTATCAATACATCTTCTTCTCAGCTGTCTTCTTCACTCACTGTAAAGGATGTAGAGAAATCAGAATAAGTTCAGAAAAAGCCAATAAGGGTAATCTGAAGTATGGGGAGAAAACCCTGTGGCCTGGAAGAGAGGAAAAAACCTGACCACATTCTTCCGCCAGATGTCACCTAGAAGTAGGTATTGATTGTCATTTATTCTTTCCACTTTCCCCAGTCAACTGGCAATCAAATGGGTGATGGTATCCATTTCTCTTTACTGCCACAATTACTTCCTGGGCCACAATTAAGGGAAGAGGAACATGTAGACTGCATTCATGAAGAGAATAAGCAAGTCCATCTTATATTTCCTATAGTGAAATCTTGATGCCTTCTGAGCTTGATTATATTTCTGCAGACATTTCATTGCCCAACTAGGTTATATCGTCACCTTGCGCTGCTGATGTTACCTGGTTGGGCAACGAAACATCTGCAAGCTCAGAGACCACCAAGAACTTCATCTCACCTTTATTACTTTAACAGATTAGCAGAGTTGGAAGGGATCTTATAGGTCATCTAGTCCAACCCACCTACAAGCAGGAGACCCTACACCATTTCTGATATATCACAGTCCAATCTTTTCTTGAAAGCCTCCAGTGATGAAGTTCCCACAACTTCCGAAGGCAACTTCTGTTCCATTGGTTGATTGCTCTCACTGTCAGAAAGTTCCTCCTCATTTCTAGGTTGAATCTCTCCTTGGTCAGTTTCCATCTATTATTCCTTGACTGGCCTTCAGGTGCTTTGGAAAATCGCTTGACCCCTTCCTCTCTGTGGCAGCCCCTCAAATATTGGAACACTGCTATCATGTCTCCCCTGGTCCTTCTCTTCACTAGACTAGCCATGCCCAGTTCATGTAACTGTTCTTCATATGTTTTAGTCTCCAGTCCACTAATCATTTTTGTTGCTCTTCTCTGCACTTTTTCTAGAGTTTCAACATCTTTTTTACAGTATGGTGAGCAAAACGTTACTCTAGATGTATTCAATCCTGAGCTACAAACATTCACTTCTATTTCTCTCAGTGCTCAGATTGTTGGATGAAGTCAGGAGTATTTTCTTAACTGGTAACTTCTATAAATGCAAGGATCTGAAAGAAACTCCAGCAGAAGCAAATACGTTCAAATATGAGAACTTAAGAGCTACCTAGGTAAACCAAAATGCTGATGTGAGCTTTGGCTGGGATCTCAAATAGTTTTGATTGGAAAAAAAAGATTTATTAAAAATAACTATATATTGAGGAAGTGAATATTAACATTTGACATGGACGCCGGGCTGGAAAATCTCAGAAAAGTCAAAGTCACCAGTAGCCATTAATCTATCGGTTTTGCCCTCCTGTGACACAGTCACTTTTCATGCACATGTTACAGGTACACTTCCTTCATCAAGGGAAAAAGGCAACTTCCCTTAGAACATGAGTTTGGAGACTACAGCTGCTAACAGGGCTTTAACAGCATGTCAAAAGCAGATGGTGAAGTGCCTAGAGAAGAGAGGTGGGGGGCGAGCATCTGTAAGACTGTCTGGGGAAAGAACAGCTGAGCAGGATCTTCTTTGAAGTGGTGGGTGGCAGCAGCTGGCAAGAGCGATCCTTCAAGGTTTTCCCTTCAGCTGACTACCCCAATTATCTAGTCTGGGAATAGCAATAAGGATGCCAGTATGCATCCACACAGATGCGTGCGCACACCAAGAGACATAGTTAATATGACTGTATCACAAAAAGCTCCCATTCTGTATCATTGTCTGGGTCTATCTATGCCTTCATCATCTAAATCAGTGTTTCTCAACCTTGGAAGCTTGAAGTGCTGGCTGGGGGATTCTGGGAGTTGAAGTCCACCCATCTTCAAGCTTCCAAGGTTGAGAAACACTGATCTAGATCAAAGTTCCCCCAACCTGGTCCACTCCGTGATATGTGGATTTCAACTCCTAGAATCCCCAGCAGCCAGCATGGCCATTATCAAGAATTTTAGAAATTGAAGCCACACCTCAAAGTTTTCTAGGTTGGATAACCTGATCTACATAAAGGTTGAGAAACTCTTGGGTCTCCAGATATTATTGACTCCTCGTTTCACCACATCAAGTGGATTCAGAAGACCGGGTGTTTTTCAATTTTATTCAGGGATGTTGCTGCCATTAGAAGAAAAGAAAGAGGTTAGTTAGATCATGGATGGATAGGTTCCAGAATAGAAAGATCTTGTTTTCATTAAAATCCAGAGTTGCCCAGAACTAAGGGCAAGGAGAAACATGGGGAGGCAAGCATATATTATAAGAAGTCACAGTTTGCTTATCAAGTTTCACTACAGGGATGCCGAAGCCGGGTCCAATCCAAATAAAATAGCCAGCTTCATTCATAAAATTAATTCAGTTCATATCAACCCTCTTCATAAGTCTTTTTTTTATTATTAAATAAACCAAATCATCAATCGATATCAGAATGTTGATTCAATCTGATCAAATACCTTTCCCAATAAATGTCAATAAATGAAGAAAAGCTTTCTACTGTCCTGGCTTTTGAACTAAATTAACGTCGGCTGACTTAATAAAACATGCTAAGCCAAAACTGAACAAACTACAAATTAATTTAGGAGAAACTGTACCTTTCACAAAAGCTGACCAACTCTAATGGGCACATTCCGGACGTGGATGATTTGGCTGAACGGAAGCTTGTTTGAAGGGGAAAAATTTCTATCTACTTTAGTTGAGATGGTTGGCCAATCTAGCGTTTCTGGTGTCATTTCAGGGGAAGTATGACTGAGGTGGAGCCCGTGCTGGATTTTGCATCATCAGGGCGCACTGGCCGAAGAAACGCCTTGCCGGATATCCTGGGTTCACCAGCTGGTGTCAGCCCCACCGACTTGCCCCTGAAACTGGCAGAAATGTCTATTACCTCAGGTAGACATCCTCCTTATTTGCCTCATTTCTTGTATGGTTGGAGCTCTTTGCCAATGGAATAGTTCCTTCTTTCTTCATGTACCTTTGTCCTGGATCAGAAGGGTTTGCTCATGGCCATTCATGCCTTGATCACTTCCTGTTTGGATAATTGCTATGCGCTCTGCATGGGGATGTCCCAGTGGTGAAATCTGAACCGGTTTGCTACCGGTTCGCTGGCCACACATGAGCGCTGCGAGCGCATGCGTAGTGCACACCAAACACACGTTGCATGCGCACTCCATACCAAACGCACGCTGTGCATTTAAAAAGCTACCAGTTCGGTCAAACCAGTAGTTAAAAAAAGCTACAATCCGACGATCATCTGTACCGCGTGAAAGCAGGATTTCCTGCTTTCTAGCAAAGCTAGACTGCGTGCCGCAGCTGATCCCCCCCTCGCTGTTCTACTTACCTTCCCAAGCCTCCTTTTGGTGCATACTGCATATGCCAGCGCACACAGCACACACCAAAAGGAGGCTTGGGAAGATAAATAGAACAGCGAGATAGGGAATCAGCTGTGGCACGTGGTTTAGCTTCACTAGAAAGCAGGAAATCCTGCTTTCTAGCAAAGCTAAACCACGTGGTATAGGTGATCGTCGGATCGTAGCTTTTTTAAACTACTGGTTTGACTGAACTGGTAGCCAACTACCGGTTTGACCGAATTGGTAGATTTTATTTTTTACTACCAGTTCGTCCAAACCAGAAGTTTTTATCACTACCAGTTCGCCTGAAATGCGAACCGGTAGCATTTCACCCCTAGGATGCCCCCTTCTAACCACCCAGAAGCTACAACTAGTGCAGAATGCAGTGATCCATACAGTGTTGGCTTCTCTAGGTTTGCTCACCGTGCTCTCCTGTTCCGAAACCAGCATTGAACTCTAGTTGCTGTCAGTGCAGGGATACATCCCCATACAAGGGTCTCCAGCTCATTACCAGCATGTTGCTGAGGCAGGCTAAAGCAGGCTAAAGTGTTCTGACTTGAAAGTAATTATTTGAGAAAAGAATACTTCCCAACTAGAGTTGTAGGTCACATGGAAGAGTCATCTCTGGACATCAATGGCTTGCTGGGCTTTAGCTGGCTTGCTACAAAACCACTCTCTGCCTCCCATGGCTGGCAATGACAGCTGGACATTTATCCAGCTGTATGTCAGGGTTCCAAGTAATACATCCATAACAAGCAAAACTCCAAGGCCAGCAGATTCCTCAAAGAACAGCTTTTTTGGAAATATCATATTGGCAGAGATCTGGTGAAAAACGACTCTGGAAACTCCCACGGTTTTCACCTAATTAAAAGTAAAAGCTTTTCTACCTTCTCAAAACAAACAGTCACATGGTCCAATCATGGTGCGGTCTGGTGACCGGATAGCATCTCTCCGCCTTCCTCCGACCAACTGTGAGAATGTCCTTGGTTCCCAAGAGAAAATATTTTGTTTTGGCTACAGAATCACCTCTATCTCAAATCCCCCCTCCCTATCCCTCAGCTCCAGTGTGACAACACTAAAGTGGTCAGGTCAGCTTCAGGATTGACACTTTAACTTATTTGTGGCTGTGAAACTTAGTAAAGAGATGGTTATGAAGGACTTTATGAAGGACTGAATATGGTCTTCTGTGGGTATGGATTCCCTTTTGTAAGGAGAAAGCAGTAGTTGATTTGCCCTATGCCATCCCATATTTAGGACTAACAAAGCTGAGATTTATGGCCAAGGGCTCCATGGCAGAGTGCTTTGTGAGAACTTCAAATTTATTTGTCAATAAATTACAATTAAACAAGACATGGCTTAGCACAATGTGTGGATCTAATCGGTTGTCTCATTTTCTAGTCACCACTGACAAATACTTTCTTTATATTTCTCTGCTTTCCTTTCCCCAGACAGATCACAAGAAATGCAGTCACCAGCCACAGAGGTGCCTCCACCAGCACCCCAAAGTCCAGAGTTGAAAGATACCTCTTAACCCTTCCTCCTGGAAGTCAACTGAAGAAGGAGACGCTTCCTAACATCCAAAGACGTTTGCCTGGAGTTTGCTGGGGCTACCTGGCGAAACTTGTCTTCATCCGTGGCATGAAGGAGAGACACAGGAGGATGGGAAAAACAAGCAACCACACATTTTATAAACACCTGAGTGGGACCTTTAGGGACTCCTTCTTCAGAGGGCACTTGAAGAACTGCAAGACAGAATGGAAGGGGTTGTTACAGAGTTAAGTTTGTTTCCACAGCTCTGGTGCAGAGAGCAGCCATGAACAGAAAAGTCCCGTCAAGTTACTTTGGAGTCATCCAGTTCAGGATTGTCTTGGTTGAAAGCTGCAGGTTCCCAGAGCTTCAGCCAAGGGCCTTGTTGAAGCTCATCTGGAGATGCCCAGAACTTGGCATGGGAACCAGCTACATGCAAAACAAAAGCTGTTCCACTGAATGTCATCCTTAACTGTGCATCTGCCATATATTTGTGGGTCCAAAATGTTATTCAAAGATCCATGAGGTGTTGTTATTTTTTTTTTAACAATGTGTATTTTTCACAGTATGCATCTGTTGCTGTGATGTTTGGAAGCAAAGCCTTCCCTTTTTTGGGGGAGATTGTGTGTTGGTTTCACCACAGGTCTACCGTCCTCTCTACAAAATATTTTAGACGCAACGTTTCAGGTGAGAGGTCAGCTCCTTCTCTTCAGCCCTGGTTGAATTCCTCTCAAGGTGGAAGCTCTTTCCAAAGTAATCTGCCTATTTTGGAAAGTGTCCTGGCTTGAGGAATAAGGTGAAAAGCATCTCACGTACAAGAAATCAATACGGCTGTTTCAATGGTGAAATCCAAATTTGTTTACTACCGGTTCTGTGGGCGTGGCTTGGTGGGCATGGCAGGGGAAGGATACTGCAAAATCTCCATTCCCACTCCTCTCCAGGGGAAGGATACTGCAAAATCCCCATTCCCTCCCCACTCCTGGGGGAAGGATATTGCAAAATCTCCATTCCCACCCTACTCTGGGGCCAGCCAGAGGTGGTATTTGCCGGTTTTCCGAACTACTCAAAATTTCCGCTACCGATTCTCCAGAACTTGTCGGAACCTGCTGGATTTCACCCCTGGGCTGTTTATTACCAAAGGTGGTTGGCCTTACCTATGAGATTTTCAGGTCAGTACATAACAATTGGACAAACCATTTATAGTCGTTTTAGAGATCCCTTAGTTCTCACTAGAAGTAGAAGATTGACTTTCATACTTTGGATGAAGTGCTCTTGAAGTGGAATTCCAAATGGTCCTTCTTGAAGAACAAAGTTTTCGGTTAATAGATGGAGAAGAAAGATCTTCTGTCTTGCTTTTTGTGGCCCTGTTCTGGGTTTCTATTTTTTAAAAATCAGTAAGGAAGGACACATGTGGATAAAATAGCTTTTGCTAAAAACCAAGCACCATCGGAAGACCTGAAAGACACGTTAGGGATAGATCAACATGGAAGGAAGCTATCCATGTGGTCATTCGGAATCAAAAATCAATCAATCAAAAAAGACACAGAATGAAACCCAACCCTTGCTATTTATTTTTTATATTTATTTATTGAGGCTTCAATTGGATGCAGTGGCTCAGTGGCTAAGACACTGAGCTTTTCAATCGAAAGATCGGCAGTTCAGCAGTTCGAATCCCTAGTGCCGCGTAATGGGGTGAGCTCCCGTTAGTTGTCCCAGCTTCTGCCAACCTAGCAGTTCGAAAGCAGGTAAAAAATGCCAGTAGAAAAATAGGGACCACCTTTGGTGGGAAGGGAACAGCATTTCGTGCGCCTTTGGCGTTTAGTCATGCCGGCCACATGACCACGGAGACGTCTTTGGACAGCGCTGGCTCTTCAGCTTTTAAAGGGAGATGATCACTGCCCCCTAGAGTCTGGAACGACTAGCACATATGTGCAAGGGGAACCTTTACCTTTATCTATTGAGGCTTCTAGTCCCAAATGACTGAATGGCTTCCTCTCCAATAAGCAGAAGCAGGATTAAAAATGGTCTGTAATATCCAGTAATGCTCCCAAACAAATCAATACCCCTTCTCCAAAAAATTAGAGGTGCACTATTGAAAGATCTGAAGAAGCCAGTTGGGGACAGATCATAAAGGAGAAAATCTACCTAAAGTTACAACCAGTCCTTGCACTTACAACTCTCACAGCATCAACACAGTCCTAGGATCAAAATTTGGGTGCTTAGCAACCAGAAATTCTGGTCCCAATTGTGGTTACTAAAAGTTGACACCAACTTGATGGCGCATAAGCAAGCAAGCAAGCAATTATCCCAGAAGGACCTCAAATCGTATTGATCGCTTGTGTGTGAACATAGGTTTAAAAAAAAAAAAATCATTCAGAAACAATTGAACTGATGAGCGGGTGCAAAACGTTTTCAGAAGTTGAAGATAAACGAAGCACATAGATTGTATAGTCCCAATTTATTTTATAGCTGTTGTCTCTAAAGAAAGTGGCATTTATAATAATCACATTAAGGCAGGATATATTTAATATGTTCCATTCATAACAGAAAATAAACGCAGGGGGGGAAAAAATCCTGAAAAAGTCAACTGTGTTCAAAAATTCAACGTAACTTTTTGGGGAGGAGGGGAAATGCATATTTGCCCATTTTTCTCGAGTGAAAAACTATGTCTAGTGAGGATCTGTTTGTGCAAAACTCATTAAATTTCTACCATTGAGACACCATTTGCTTTTCCTGTCTCAGTTCCAATATGAATCTTTCGTATAAGGCAAGATCTCGTGTTTTTGCATAGCTTTTCATCGTTGGAAGTACCTGAAGTTGCCCGACTAGGTGGCTCAGTGGCTAAGACACTGAGCTTGTCAATCAGAAAGGTCAGCAGTTTGAATCCCTAGTCTCCTGCATGAGCAGGGGGTTGGACTAGATGACCTCCAAGGTCCCATCCAACTCTGTTACTGTTACCTTTACTGCAAATTCAGGGTGAAGTGTTGCTTGGCTCAATCTGAGCAATTTTCTGCAGCAACTGTTTCCTGAGGGATTTTCTGCAGCAATTTTTTTTCTTTTGGATTTGTTTGTTTGTTTGTTTGTTTGTTTGTTTTATTTGTTTGTTTGTTTGTTTGATTGATTGATTTATATGCCACCCTTCTCCGGAGACTCAGGGCGGCTTACAATGCATTAAGCAATAGCCTTCATACTTTTGTATATACCTGCTTAGTAGGGCTTTTTGGGCCCCCGAGCGGTGTTCTATTTTATACAAAGTCAGCTTATTGCCCCCACAAACCAGGTCCTCATTTTACCTACCTCGGAAGGATGGAAGGATGAGTCAACCTTGAGCCTGGTGAGAATTGAACTCGCAGTAATTGCAGGCAGCTGGCAGCTAAGTGCTACTTTAACAGCAGTAGTTTAGTCTGCTGCGCCACCAAGGCTCCTTATATATTTAACTTGGAGGGAGGTGTCTTAAAATACGCTATGTAATATGTATCTGCCCCTGTTCAGATATATTGGATTTTTAAAAAAACCTCCAGGAATCCCCAGCTGGGGATGTCAAATTGGAAAAGCAGAACCTAGTGTAGTAAATGGCCAACCTTTTGGCCTGAGCATGCCAAACCTTTGAAAAATGCCTTACCGGACTCTGCAGGTGTGTCATAGATCCAATTTGGTCCAGTGGTGAAGGCCCCAAAATAGAAAGTGAGGGACCATGAGTTCAAGTCCTGCCTTTGCCACAAAAGCCAGATGGGTAACTTTGGGCCAGTCACTCTCTCTCTCTCTCTCTTTCAGATCAACCCACCTCACAGGTTGTTGTCAGAAAAAAAGGAGAAGGAAGTTGTGTTGGATAGGTTCACTGCCTTGAGTTATAGTAAAAATAATAACGGCTGGATACAAATACATATTTATCTTATAAATATTAAAAATATCTTCTGCCAACCTAGCAGTTCGAAAGCAGGTACAAAGTGTAAATAGAAAAATAGGGACCACCTTTGGTGGGAAGGTAACAGCATTCCGTGCGCCTTTGGCGTTGAGTCATGCCGGCCACATGACCACGGAGATGTCTTCAGACACCGCTGGCTCTTTGGCTTTGAAACGGAGATGAGCACCGCCCCCTAGATTCGGGAACGACTAGCACACATGTGCGAGGAGAACCTTTACCTTTACCTTTTACAAATAAATATAATAAAATTAATAGTGGCCCTGAAAAAAGAGAAACAATTCTCTATCTTCTCCCCCCACCCCACCCAAATAGGTCACCTTGAACAGTGGCACTTAGTGGCAGTGCCAAGCCTGGGCCTGAGGTAAAAGCTAGGCCTCAACTTCAGCCCTAACGCCACAGCTGCCATTCAAAGAGGCCACTCCATGCCGTTTCCCAAGTGTGTAGCTTTGGGAAATGGGGCAATTGCCCCAGCACTCCCCAGGATTTGCCATGTGCCACTTCCCTTCAGGCAATTTCTGCTTCTGTTGATGGGCCTCAGCAGTTTATCTGCGGTGGCTCTGGGTCGCACAAGACCTTCATTCTTGAAGGAGCTTCAAAGAATGCTCTTCCAGGCAACTGCAGCCTCAGAAAATCACCCCAAAGTACGTCCCCATTTCCTTGTGATTTTTGGAGGCGCTGCAGGCTGCATGATTTCTGGAGGCCACAAGAAAGAACACCCAATTTTTGTGGCGCCTCTGAAAAAGAGTCATTGACCGAGATGGGCAGTCATGGAGAATGAATGAATGAATGAATGAATGAATGAATGAACGAAACACACGAGAACAGGGTGTGCTTTCAGGAACAGTTGCTGTAAGTTGTTGGTGAATGCTGACACGCACTCAAAATATTGTGGCATGTCACCTTTGACACGCATGTCATAGATTCTCCATCCCTGATCTAAGAGTTTAATTTTTTTTTCCTTCCAAACAGCTGAGTACAGAAATATGATAACGCAACCTAACCAATAGGTGGTGCTGCTCCTCAAATACTTTCCGATGACTTTGACGTTAACAATCTTGCTTTACTTTTCTTGACAGAAAAAGAAAACGTTTTGACTTTTACTATTTTGGATGCTGTATTTAATATTGACTTTACTCTGTGCCATCACTTAAGACTGTTAATTTTCAGATATGGGTGGACTGCCAATTCCCCTAATTTCTGGTTAACGTACGCTTGTATCCTGTTTAATAAAATTTCATACCATTAGATCAGGGATGTCAAACTCAATTTCATTGAGGGCCGTATCAGGGTTGTGTTTGACCTCGGCGGGGTGGGTGGGGGGTGACCAGGGTGTGTGTGGCCAGTTTGACGTCACTCATGTTGGAGGCGCCTGTGGTGGCTGGAGCGCTCTGCCAGCTAAACGGCTCCCGAGCTCCATTTTTGGCTGCGATTGCCTCCTGCAACCCTCTGCCAGAGAAAACGGAGCTGGGGAGGACTGTGTGTGGCCCTCCCCAGCTCCATTTTCAGTGGCAGAGGCACCATGGGCCAGTCCTTTGCTTTTTCCAGGGTAGCCCTGTGGGCCAGATCTAAGCACCCCATGGGCCGGATCTGGCCCCCGGGTCTTGAGTTTGACACACCTGCATTAGATAAAGGGGACTGGGTTCAGGTCACACACTAAACTATATTCTTATGTTTTGTATGCAGCATAATCTAGGTTTACCCAACATACTAAGCCAAGACTGTAATTAATAATGAAGGATATTATGTGAATACCAGGTCAATATGGCCTAGTGCAAAGTATGAGCTCATTTGCTGACTGTAACTGCACAACAAATTAAGCCAAAATGTCTAGCACACGTTTTCCTCTCCCTCCAACCTCTTTAAGCAAATCTCTTAGATGTTTTTCCCCTCCATTGAGCTTCAGTGCTCTCTATTTATCCTTGAACCAGCAGAAAATTAGACCAGCATAACCATTTCTTGTTGTTTATTCTGTCTCCATGGCTACTGTTTTGAGTAAAGACAATCACCTGAGTTCCCTTTCAGGTAAAAGGGTAACCAAGCCTAATTGGTTTTTGTTTTTTGTTTTTTTGATTTGATTTATATGCCGCCCTTCTCCGGAAACTCAGGGCGGCTTACAATGCATTAAGCAATAGCCTTCATACTTTTGTATATTTTATACAAAATCAGTTTATTGCCCCCACAATCCGGGTCCCCAATTTACCTACCTTAGAAAGGATGGAAGGCTGAATCAACCTTGAGCCTGGTGAGATTTGAACTTACAGTAATTGCAGGCAGCTGATGTTAATAACAGTGCTTTAGTCTGCCGTGCCACCAGAGCTCTGGTTTTTGACCCACATTTGTGGCTGTCCTTGGAATAAGGGTCGTTAGGATGTGGGAGGAGCTACTGTGACATCGATATAGCTAAGGGTGACTTATTTATTTATATCCTGCCTGTATTATTTTTATGAATAGCAAAAGGCAGCAAATATACCTAATACTCCTTCCTCTTTTTATTTCCCTCCCCTCATGACAACCTACCCTGTGAGGAGGTCTGGGCTGAGAGCAGGGATGGGCTTCAAAAATTTCAACAACGGGTTCTCTGCCCAGTTGCTGGGTGAGCGTGGCCATGGTGGGTGTGGCCTAGTCGGCCTCCTGCACCACGGCGGGGTGGTGGTGGTGCTTTTCCCCTTCCCCAGGCTCTGGAGGCTTTCCTCGAGCCTCTGGGAGGGCGAAAACTGCCTCCCCCAGGCTCCGGAGGCTTTTCCAGAACTTCTGGGAGGCCCATTTTTCCCCCTCCCTGAGCCTCCACATGGGCCCTGCACTTACCTCACATCCAAAATGGGCCGCATGGAGACCCCTGGGAGGGATGGGAAGAGCAAGGCGGGGTGAGTGGGAGGGGCCAGCCAGGAGTGGGATTTGGAGGTTCTCTGAACCGGCCATAATGTTAACTATGGGTTCTCCCGAACCTGGCCGAACCTGTAGCATCCCACCCCTGGCTGAGAGTGACTACCCCAAAGTCACCCATCTGACTTTTATGCCTTCGACTGATAACCTTGAGTGATTTAAGTGTATCAAATTCCTAGGCTGGGGATAAGGTGAAGGCCATGACACAAGGATGTAGCAGGAAAAAGCTGTCATTCTAGTTAAGTGCAAATGGTAAGGTGGCCTTAAGCTTTCTGGGCTATTGTTACTGAAGTGGCCAGTGGATAGCAATTGTAACCAAAGCTTCTATAATCCCATTTTGGGGAAGAGGAATTTGAGTGACACAGCTTTGGTGGCTTTACAGTCGCAGCATTGCTGAGGGTTGCTTGCACACAAATTTTTTTGTTTTGGTCGCCATGATGTAAAAAATATGTTGAGACTTTAGAAAGAGTGCAGAGAAGATCAACAAAGAAGATTAGGGGACTGGAGGCTAAAACATATGAAGAACGGTTGCAGGAACTGGGTATGTCTAGTTTAATGAAAAGAAGGACTAGGGGAGACATGATAGCAGTGTTCCAATATCTCAGGGGCTGCCACAAAGAAGAGGGAGTCAAGCTATTCTCCAAAGCACCTGAGGGCAGGACAAGAAGCAATGGGTGGAAACTAATCAAGGAGAGAAGCAACTTACAATTAAGGAGAAATTTCCTGACAGTGAGAACAATTAATCAGTGAAACAACTTGCCTCCTGAAGTTGTAAATGCTCCAACACTGGAAGTTTTTAAGAAGTTGGATAACCATTTGTCTGAAGTGGTGTAGGATTTCCTGCCTAAGCAGGGGGTTGGATTAGAAGACCTCCAAGGTCCCTTCCAACTCTGTTGTTCTATTCTAAAAATTACT